CAAAAAATGTATTACTAGTTTAACAGAAGATGGTTATGAAAGGGACATAAATACAGGGGCAAAAGTGGGCAAATATGTTTGATGGCCAATAAGAGAAGAGGGGTGCCGCTTGAAATGACTAGAGATGAGATTGTAAACTTGTTTGAGGGATATCCTAAATTCAAGTTCAGAAATAACCGATATACAAAAGAGGATATTCTCACTCCAAGATGCATTTCCATCATGAAAAGGGCACTGAAATGAAAGAGACAAGTGCAATGTTTGGACGGCATACATGCCGAGGATTTGCCGATAGGATGAACAAAATTTAGTATATACTTTCAGCTTTCTTACTAGCATAAGCTCAACCTCTGACACAATTTAGATGTAATGCATATTAATATATGTGATAACCTCTTGTCCACACCCCTATAGGATGGTAAGAAATCAAAGGATGATTTAAGGGCTCGGCGAGACTTGAATGCATTGAACATCTAACATGATATGCAAGCACAAGAAGTCGCCAATGGCAAATTTGAGTTACCCTCGTCTTGCATTACAATGTGAAAAGTTGAGATGTAGAGATTTTGTAAGGTTCTTAAGTCAGTGAAGTCACCAGATGGTTACTACTCTAATATTTCAAATAATGTCTAGGTGAAAGAGCGAAAACTTTTAGGACTTAGGACTCATGATTATCATATCTTTTTTCACCAATTGCTTTCAGTAACACTCTATAACAACATGGCCGATGATGAAGTAACAAAAATTATAATTAAATTCTATAAATTTTTTAAAAAGTTATGCTCCAAAGTTATCAATATTGATGAATTTAAGGCACTAAAAGCATAAATGAATGAAACCCTCTACAAAATAGAGATATTCTTCCCTTCATAACTTTTTACAATCATGGTCCATCTCACATATCATCTTGTAGATGAGGCATTACACAAAGATATTCTATAAGTCAGTCGACTGATAAGCTGGAAAACGCCTCTAACAGTTAGCTCATCAGTCGACTGATGAAAGCAGTCAGTCGACTAATGCTGTAACGGCTAGTTTTTTTAGCCTTTTACAGATTTGGGTTTTTTGGTCTTTTTGCCTTGCTTTCTCTTGGCTTTGGAGTTTCTATAAATACCCCCACATATCCTCAGTTCTATAAGAGCAAGAGAAAAGTTTTAAACAAATTTAAGGGTATTTAAGTTTTGTTTAAGTTTGTTTTAAAAGAGTTTGTTTGCGAAGAGATTTTCACAAAAGGAAGAAGAGATCATCCTTTGATGTTTGAGCTTCAACTCATCTCTCTCTCTCTCTCTCTCTCTCTCTCTCTCTCTCTCAATCTATAGAGAAGTTTTCCTAACTCAAGTATCTAGCATTTTTATTCTTGAATTTCATAACTATATTATTGCTAGTTTATTCTTGAGTTAGATTTCATTTATACTATTTGTTCACACACAACCAATTGAGCTTATTGTATTTGCATACATAGTATAATTTAGGTTGTGGGGTTTGAGATATTGAGAGTGAGCTTACATTATGTTGTCATCCATTATAGAGAATAATTTATTTGTATTGAGAGCTATTATTGTGAGGTTCACTTTGTATTACACTAGTACACTAAGGAGTGTGTGGTGAGAGACGTGGTCGTCCCAAGAGGAGTGAGGTAGGTGGTAATTCCTAGAGAGAGGTTGTAATTCTTAACACTTGAGGGAGACACGGGCTAGAGACCAACACTTGAGGTAGTAGTTAGTGTGTTTACATTGTGAGTGATTGTAAAGTTTTCGATGAACTAGAAAACCGACTGTGAGGTGTAAACGTTATTCGGATGAGCGTGGTTTTTAGTTTGTTTTATTAAATCTCTTTGTTTACACACACAACCATTGAGCTTATTGTATTTCATACATAGTATAATTTGGGTTGTGGGAAGTGTGACTTAGAGAGTGAGCTTTCATTGTGTTCTCATCCATAGTAGAGAACAAACATTTGTTGTATTGTGAGTCTAATTGGGTAGATCACTTTGTAATACACTAGTACACCAAGAGGAGTGTGTGGTGAGAGACGAGGTCGTCCCAAGAGGAGTGGGGTAGGTGGTAATGCCTAGAGAAAGGTTGTAATTCCTAACACTTGAAGAAGACACGGGCTAGAGACCAACACTTGAGGTGATAGTTAGTGTAGTTACATTGTGAGTAATTATGAACGTTGATTGGTGAGCATTGAAAACCGATATTGTGAGGTGTAAACGTTTTTAGGGTATGCGTAGAAAACCCGGTGTGATAGTGAAGATCTCCTCAAGGTGAGGAGCGGAGACGTAGGTCGTGGGGACCGAACTCCGTGAACATATCATTTGTTTGTGATTACATTGGTGCACTTATTATTCATATTGCCTTTGTCAATTGCTTATTGTTTATATTGCCCACTATCTAGTTTAGTTTGTTCACCCTTGTGTTAACTTGTATATCTTTGCACATATCTTGTTCATATCTCATTTGCTAGGATATATTTGTTAATTAGTTTTTAATTTGGCATAAATCGGATTAGATCCCCCCCCCCCCCTCTAGGATTCTTTCCTAGTGATATTAGGGTGCTTTCAATTGGTATCAGAGCTTGGTGCTCTTTGATTTAAGGTCTAATCACCTTGAGTTAAAGATCCAAGTTATCTTTTTGTGCTAATCTAATTTTAAGATTTATTGTTATCTTGCTTGCATATTTTATAATTATGGACATGCATTGTGTACCTTGTTTAGGTTATGATCCAAATGTTGCTCTTAGAATAGCTAATTTCCCCTATGATGAATGGTGTTCTAGATTTAATATTTTTGTTAGATCTAGACCTTTCGATTTGTGGGATATTATAGATGAAGCTTATATTGTACCCACTATAGAGAAATCCAAGTGGAGTAAAAATAATCATAGAATGTGTACAATGAATAAGCTCTTGTTAGAATTTTTACTAAATACTTTTGACTCATCTATTTCTAACAAGTTTGTTCATTTTGATAGCGATTACACATTATGGAAATTTATAGAAGCGCATCAAAGGGACTTGGAGGTGATCCAACAAGCTTTAAAGGCTTCCTCTTTAAGTTCCATTAGAGCATCATGCACACGGTCACTAAACGATAGCCCTAGTGAGGTTTGCGAGTTCGAATCCATTAATGATTTTTCTAGTGATGAACTTGTTTGTGCATCTGAAAAATTATTACATGCCTATAACAAATTGCATAAAAACTTTATTGAATTAAAATGCAAGCATGTTAATTTAGAATCCGACCATGAGAATTTAGCTTTTAAATTTGATATCATTACTCAAGAAAATGATGCTCTTAAAGAAAACAATGATATGCTAAATTTAGAAAACAATAATTTAAAATTAGATATTGCTAACTTGACTCATAACAAAAACAATACCATGTTAGAAGTAAAGAACATAAAAAATGATACTGCTTCTTTTATAAATGACTATATATGTTCTACTTCTAATCAAAATACATATGTGTCTAATAATGAAGATTTGAATCTTGTGAATAAACGCATTTCATCTTTAGATTCAACTTTGAAAACATGCATTAATAATCATAAGAAGCTTCTGGATATATGTGCCAAGTCTAAGTTAAAATCATCCACTCATTATGCACACATATATTGCAAAGTTTACAAATGCATAAATTACGGTCTTAAAGGCCATCTTGCTAGATTTTACTATGATGCACATAAACCCACTAAGGTTCATATTAATTATTCTTGTGCATCTCATCAAGCTTCATCATCATATTCACATGTACACACACATATAGATCATCATAAACATGCTCATGTGTACAAATGTGAGTTTTGTGGTCATTTTGGTCATTTAACCAAATTTTGTTTTGATTTGAGAAGAGTTTCTCATTTGCAAAATAATTTCCAAGATAAACCTATTTTTGCAAATGAGTCCCGTGCGCAACCGTTTGGTCAACATAAGCAAATGCTTCATTTTCATTGTACTTATTGCAATCGGAAGGGTCATTTGAGTAACTTTTGTTATGACCGTGTCCGTGCATCACATGTGTCCAAAAAGGTTCATAACCCTAGGGCTTTGAGCTTAAATGATAGGGGTCATTTTTCTAAATCTTTTGGTACCAAGAATACTTGGGTATCAAAACATATTTGATTTTTTTAAACCAAGATTTTTAATGTTTTTATTTTTTTTCATTTCTTGGTTTTGGAAAACTTTTGTTTTATGATTTAAATCCTGATTTATGATTTTATTTGGTTGAATTGTTTTTATTTGAACACTTTTTTCATGATTCTCATGTTTTTTTTCTTTTGATTTCATAAATCTATTTTATACATTATTTTTATGTTTGATTAATGAGACACTATTTTCATATTGATATATTTATATGTGTTCTTATTGTCTTTTTGTATGTTAATTGTGTTTAGCATATTTTTCATATATGCTTGCTCACATGTTTTTCCATGATCTTTATTGCATATATACCATAAGGCATTTTGATAGGGGGAGTCATTCCTTATATTTGTTTTATACTCACTCATGCTTATTGGTAGGAGGAGCTTTCGTTCTCTCCATTCTTTTGTTTTCCCCTTTTTGATGTTGTCAAAGGGGGAGAAATATTATGAGTATATCTTGTTTTGATTATATGTATGATAATTCTAATTTACATATTAATTTCCTTTCATGCATATATCTCTTTTTGTAAATTGTTTATCATCATCAAAAGGAGGAGATTGTTGGGTCCTTTTGTTTTGATGATGATTAGCAAATAATTTATAACTAATGTTCATTAATGATGATTAGCAAAGATTGTTGGGTCCTTATAGAATCAGCGGTAACATTTTTCTTAACACTTCTCCAACTAAAACATTATTATTGATGATATAAACATATCCAGATGTAGACTTTCTATCATCTGGATAGGATTGGAAATCAGAATCAGTATATCCTTCAATACTCATATCATTTGCATCATAAACTAAACAGTAGATTTTAGTTCTATGCAATATTTAAATATGACTTTCATTGCAGTTCAATGTTCCTCACTAGGATTGGACTGAAATCTACTTACAAGCCCAACATCATATGTTATGTCAGGTCTAGTACATAACATAGCATACATCAAACTATCAATTGTTGAAGCATATGATATATTTCTAAAACTCTTAATCTTCTCTATAGATTTAGGACACATTTCCTTTGAGAGTGAGATTCTATGTCTAATAGGAAGTATTCCATTCTTGGAATCTTGCATGCTGAACCTTCTGATGATCTTATCCACATAAGTAGACAGTGATAATCCTATACGTCTCTTTTCTCTATCTTTATAGAGTTTGAGACCCAAAATATAGGATGCTTGACCAAGATGTTTCATAGAGAAGTTATTTGAAAGCCATAATTTAACCAATACCATCATACCTACATCATTCCCAATGAGTAGTATGTCATCAACATAAAGCACTAGGAACACTATGGAATTATTCTGTTGTTTCTTATACACACAAGCTTCTTCAGAATTTTGGATAAAATCATATTTTTTAATCGTTCCATCAAAACGAATATTTCAACACCTTGAAGCATGTTTAAGTCCATAAATTCATCGATTCAATTTGCAAACCATGCTTTCTTGACCTTTACATACATAACTTTCTGGTTGCTGCATGTAAATATCTTCTTCAAGATATCCATTCAAAAAAGTTGTTTTGACATCCATTTGCCATATCTCATAGTCATAATATGTAGCAATGGCTAAAACGATCCTAATAGACTTTAACATTACAACCGGAGAAAATATTTTCTCGTAGTCAATACCCTCCTTTTGAGTATAACCTTTTATCACTAAGAGAGCTTTATATGTCTCTACATATCCATCAACTCCATATTTTTCTTAAATATTCATTTACATCCTATAGGTTTTACCGCAATAGGTGGATCAACCAAGGCCCATACATTGTTATGATACATGGAGTTCATTTCAGCTTTCGTGGCATCAACCCACTTACTAGAATATATGTCAGACATAGCTTTTTTATAAGTTCTAGGATCTTCATCATCATCTTTATTTTCCATCCAATATATTTCAGCAAAGTGCCTATACCGTACAGGTGGATGAATGATCCTACTTGATCTCCTTATTATAATTGGTGCATCAACAACAAATTTAGTTAATGAATAACCATTCACTTTATCACTTGACACTCCTACTGAATCAATAGAATCTCCAACGGTATTTGGAGTCTCTCCCACTGGATCAGATAACTCTCCAATCGAAGAAGACAATTCTTCTTCTAGAGTTATAAATCCTTGACCACAATTTGATCTTCTAGAAAGAACAAATTTCTACTAACAGTCATTGTATGATCACTGGGATTATAAATATAGTACCCAGTACTTTCTTTAGGATAGTCTACAAATAGGCCTCTATTTATTCTATACTCTAATTTGTCCATTATTCGTTTACAAATAGGCCTCTATTTATTCTAGACTCTAATTTGTCCATTATTCGTTTTCTTACATGAACAAAACAACCCCAAACCTTTAAGTGTCTAACACTTGGTTTATTTCTAGTCTATATCTCATATGAAGTGGATGAAACTGATTTGCTAGGAATTCTATTTAACTAATAGTTTGCAGTCTCCAATGCATAACCCCATAAGAAAGTAGGAGCCTAAGAATGACTAAGCATAGATCTAACCATATCTAATAGGGTTCAGGTTCGCCTTTCAGACGCATCGTTATGTTGTAGTGTTCTGGGAGGTGTCAAATTACTAACAATTCGATTTTCTTTCATAAATTTCTTAAACTCTTCAGATAGGTACTCACCACCTTGATCGGATCGGATGGTCTTGATACTTCTATGAATATCTATCTCTTGCTTTAACATTTAAATGACCACATACATCAGAATGTATAATGTCTAGAGTACCTTTAGTTCTAGCATGTTTTCCTAAAAAAGGGTAATTTAGTCATCTTACCTTTCAAGCAATGTTCACAAGTTGGAAAATTTTCTACTTTTAGAAAATCTAGAGGACCATCCTTTACCAACCTATTGATCCGATCAATATTAACATGACCCAACATTGTGTGTCAAAGATAAGTTGGATTACTTTGATCAAACTTACGTTTAAGAGATTTACAACTTAAATAACATTTGCATAAGAATTAAGGACAGTTGATATATAATATATGTCATTATCAACTTCACAATAAGCAATAATAGAATTTACAAACTTTATAGTAGATGCTTCCCCAAATAAAGTAGAATATCCATTTTTGCGAAGTTTAGAAACAAAAATCAAATTTCTCCTAAATGATGGCACATAAAGATAATCTTTTAGTTCCATTACATGTCCTTTATTCAAATGCAAAAAATAAGTTCCTATAGATAATGCTGAAACTAAGGCTCTAGTCCCTACTGTTAAGGTGATCTCTCCATCTTCAAGCTTTCGCCTTTCCTTTTACCCCTACAAGGAATTGCAAATATGCAAAGATGAACGGAATCCACACACCATATATAAGAAGAATAACACACTATATTAGTCTCTACTAAGTAATGAGATGATATACCTTCAGAAGATTTATCCTTCTTCAATGATACAATGTAACTCTTACAATTCCTTTTCCAATGCCCCTTCTTATTACAAAAGAAGCTTTCATCACCAGTCTGAAAACTTTCTTTCTTGAAAACTTTCTTTCCTTTTGCTCGCTTTTTCTTATAAGAAAACTTTCTTTTCTTATAGTTAGACGGTATAGCAGTTTCTGTAACAATCACTATGGATTTATCTTTCTTCATAATACCCTCAACCCTCTGTAACATATTGCTCAGTTCTGACAAAGTGAGATTTATTTCTTGAATACTAAAATTCACTTTGAACTGTTTAAAGGATCGAGAAAGTGAAACAAGAATTGCATCAACTTTTGATTCATTATCCAGCTCGACTCCTAAGGATTCCAATTCATTTATATATCCTATCATCTTATGAATGTAGGCCTGAACTGGTGTACCTTCAGCCTTCTTGGTGCTCTTCAAACTACTCATAGCGTTTTGACGTGCAGTACGATTACGTTCTTCGTACAAAACCTTAAGTCTTTCCAAGATCTCCTTGCAATTCTTCTTTCCTTCATGTTTCTTTTGTAAAGTAGGGTCTAAGGAAGCCATAATATAACACTTTGCAAGTTCATTATGTTCAACACATTCATCATGCTCGAGAATCTCATATTCCGTTGCATCAGGACCAGGTTCAACAAGTTCGTCCTCTTTGACAACTGTTGCCAATTTTTCAGCAGTAAGGACAATAAACAAATTTCTTTTTCAATCCACATAATTTGGGCCAGTCAGTTTATAGTCATCAAGTAGCTTAGCAAATAGACTAAACTTAGTCATCCTACACAAGAAGAATATAATAACATAATAATCTCAATTTTATATTTTATTATTGCACAATCATTACCAGAGATAATTTAAGTAATGAAATTCACATTATGTTTCTCTCATACAAAAACTATGAAAAGGAAATCCAAGCTTAATTATAAACCTCTAGATTTTTAAGATCGAATATAATTAAACTAGGTAGAATCAATCTATTCAATCAATAACAATTAATAATTTTTCTTTAATTTTGGTCTTTGATGTATGACATGACTCTACTATTTTAGTAAGCATCCCAATACATCAATGAAGTGTTTACCCATCAATCCAGCTATCTTATATAAAATAGGTGGAACTACCTATTTTAGTCTTGTGGTCCCATTATACATAAAATACTCTTGATATCCTTATGCGAGATATAACTAGATAATAATTTTTAACAAACTCTATCCTTTGTGGCATTAGATAAGCTAAAATATTATTATTTAAGTTATATCTTTCTGATGAAAGACATTTAGATTTATATTTCATAAATATTAATCTATCTACACTTCTATACAACTTTTGTTATTTATTATAATTGAGAGAACATGAGAGAAAATAACAACAGTCAATTTCTAATAAATTCTAAAATATTTTATTTAATAGAAGAAATTCAGAACAATTCTAGACCTATTAGTAATTTTCCATGTATTACTTTAATTTCATGAAAAATTAAATTTTAAACAATTTAAAAACAATACAACCATGTCACATGTATAATTTAAACAAGTATTTCTAAAATACAATGACACATTATTAATCAATAAGAGTTAAATAATCTTTTTCAACACGAGAAAATAAATTATACATTATAGGGGCTTCAGAACAAATTCTGCAAATCTTAAGGGTTAATTAGAAAATAACCACTACTTTTAGATGGGTTCCAGAACATTTTTTTGTTTAAACAGGGGGCTAAAACTAATTTTACAGCAAAAAATCAACACTGGTAGACTTCAGAACAGTTTCCGGGTCAAACATGGGTTTGATAATAATTTTACAGTAAAATTCAAATTATCAGGGTTTCGGATTTCGGTTCTATTTGCGGGTTAGACCCGTTTAATTCAAACTTAAGTCTTAATGGGTTTAGGTTCACAACCCTTTATGAAAACAAATCCACTAAGAATTCAACTTCATCAAAGAAGATCTAGGGTTTGGGCTAGAGTTGTGGGATGGCCTGATCTCCGGCATGTCTAACGCGCCAACAATCACTCCAATTATTTTTTTTTATTTTTGTTTGTTGTAGTTGTTGTGAGATCAAATCTCAACTCTGACCGCCTCCCCCGCCGCCGCCCATCTTATGGGCTATAACTCTATTGATAAAGAAGATAATTATAAAAATTTATAAACTCTATTTAGATCAAATCTAATCAAGAACCCAAATACTTCAACAATCAATACAAAAACTCAAAAGTTCTTTGATCTAATCATAAGAATTTTAACCCATGAATAGTAATCATCGGCTGTGAACAGTAACCCCCCGTGAAAGTGATTTTTGTTAATGAACGGCAACCTGATTTATCTTAATCAAATTTTAATTTAATCCAATTAAATAATTCGAAAAAGAGATCAAAACAATATAATTTAATCTGATTAAATTATTATAGATTGGATTCGAAACCCGCTTTGATACCATCTGTTGGAAACATAACATACAACATAGCAAAAATTGCACATCATGTAGATTAATTAAAATTAATTAAAATCTAGAAGAATACCTAAAACGCTTTCTGAATTGCTTCGATAATCTATCCCAAGATCAATACGAAATAGCTTCTTCAAGAGAAAAATCCTCCAATTAAAATCAACCCGTCACCGAAGAGGAGCAACACTGAGAGATAGGTTCTGAAAATCTATTTCCTTTTTCTTTTTTATCTTTTCCCATCTCCATAAGGCTACATATGAGTCCTATATATAGGATTGAACCTGCCTTATGGATTTCAATTTTAAAATATTTCTTACTTGTTTAAAACTCTATCCATAACATTTAAAGATAGAATATTGTTTTCATAACAATTAGTATAGAAATAGAATTGTATTGCATGTAAACATCTTCTAATAACATTAGTGGGACTAATTGGGTCCCATATCGAGAACCAATTATTAGTCAAAGTAATAATTTTAATTTAATAATCAAATTCTTATCCGACCAACTGTTCATAAAAGCTCTTCCATAATATGAGATTAAATATTCATGAATAATATTATCTTACATTCAGTCCCTTCCAGTATTAATTTATTTTAGGTAATTTTATGGAGCAAGACAAAACACCTATTTGCTCATTCCTAAAGTTGCAATCCCATGAACATAAATAAAAATTATTTTGAAATATCAAAATATTTTATTTTATAAGAAAATAAATTTAGAAAAGTAATTTTCAAAAAATCACCCGTCGACGAGAATTTAAAATTTTCATGGGATATGCATTAATTTAACTCGTAAAAATGAGTATACTGGATCTTATTTAGATATCCATTATTTTCCTAAATGAAATCTAGCAACCCAACATTTAAGGGTGTATAGCACTTATAAAACAAACTTAACCATCATATCAAAGTATACTAAATTATCAAATCGAAAATGATAATATCATCAAGTCTAAGAGACCACGTAACAATTCGAATTCTCTATCTCTTAGGTGACTCATCCTAGATAATTCAAAATAATGTCTTGTGCTACACATCAAATATGCGCTTATGACATACACACGGGGAATCTTCATTCCTAATGTCTGAGATCAACAATCACATCTCATATGTCCTTGTCATGCATAATACCATGTTATAACAAAGCTATCATTTACTAGTTATAGGTTAAACACAGAATTAAGAAACCTCTGAATTAGATCATATCTCTAAGCAAGTGGCCATCACAGTGCATGATCTAACCAAATAATTTCTAATGATAATATAACAATTATATAAAAGATACTAAAAAAACATGTGCAACAATAAAACTTAATTAATATTCAATGAAAATGTATTGGATGTTTAATAGCACATAACACTACTCTAGCATCATGACACATGTATGCATCACAAGTTGTGGTACATGTATGTGTCACCACTCTTGACACATATATGTGTTGTGAGTTTCGCGACACATATATGTGTCATGATTTTTATAACATAAGTATGTGACATAAGCTTTGCGATACATTCTTACATGTGTAGAAAGACTCTCTCCACACGTGCTCTACCCACGATTTTAGTGTGTATCCTGCTTCCTTTGTGCGACACAAAAATGTGTCGCATAGAGAAAAATTGTATCATAACTTTTGTTATAGTGATTATTTTATTATATTAATGAGACAGAAGATTGGTGGTACCATGAGGATGTAAGTAGTCACATAGATTGCTAGATCTAAGTCTTTCTCCAACATGATTGTTTTTCTGATTTTTCATTTTTTTTATTTTTGATCCGCAGGTTTTGGTTTTCCATTTTTTTATATTTGATCCGTAGGTTTAAGGTTTTCGACTGCGATATATACTTAGGTTTTCGACTGTGATGCTAACTACGTACTACGGTTAGCATCAACAAACTTCATTAAGCTGTATAAACACTATTTTTTCCTGTCTTCTCTTTTTCTTTATTTTTTTTCCTTTTCATCCCTTCTTCCTGAAATTTCCCTTATCTCTAGCACTGCACAGGCGTATAGATGTCAAAAGAAATGCGTAGATTCAATGGTCTTCGTTGAACTTCTACTCTGATTTAAATTCCCACATCCAACTCTACAATCTATGATTTGCAATGTAGGATCTTGATTTCATAAGAGAATCGATTTCGTAGGGTCATGACATATACAGGGCTTTCATTCATTCATTTATTTGTTAATGGATAATGTTAGTACATTGTAACTATCAACTCCTCTCTAATGCGGAAAAGTTGCACGTCAAAGAGATTCTGAACCATATTAAATTCAGATTGGCAAGATGGAGTACTAATGCAAGGATGGTGATTGTTTCAAGGGAGCCTGAAGAACATAAAATGTTGTGCGTGGCGGAAGCTCGAAACCACACGAACAAGAAAGAGATAAATCACAACTAATAAGCCAAACACAACACCATAGCAAGACAAACGAATTTTACGTTGATCGGCAAGTTGCCTACGTCCACGGAGCAAGGAGAGGGGAGTTATTACTTTTAGAAATCAAGAGGATACAAATAGGGTTACAAATCTCTCAAATAAACCCTAAAACAAAGCCTTTAGTTCTCTCACAAATCTCCCACAATTGGATACAACAATCCCCTCTCAAAGACTGCTCAAAACGTTATTACTTAACCCTAATTAATTAGGATTAGGCTTATATATCAACTCAGAAATGAACCGGGTCAAAACCTGTGTAGGTGTAAATTTTGATTTCCCAAAACGGGGATTTTAATTGTATTGATAAGAACAGCTTATTACAAACTAGTGAATCAAAATTATAACGGAGGCAGAGGGAATGCGTGTTTAACGTAGGGACTTCGGTAGCGATAGGATGCCTCGCTCAGTTCTTGCACTGAGTCCGCTTCCCTTGGACGATTCGATCGAGGTTGCTGGAGAACTTCAGTGCACAGTAGAAGCTCGTGTTAATCGAATTCGAGTCTCTGAGTTCAATGGCGATCGAGGCCGAGAACTCAAGGAAGATGCTACAATGTAGAAATGTTGCAAAGAGCAGATCCTTCGCTCACTCGGGAGCCGAAAGCTAATGGTCTGATTCGCTGATTCTATCAATGAACTCTCAATGAACGAACCTTTGAACCCATTTCCTGTAGCCAGGAGAGTCTCTTAAATAGAGGAGAGACGGCGTGGTCGCTCCGTGAATCATAGGATGCGACCATCTACTGTTGAGAGATGTCATGCTTCTCATTTGTACTATGAGCGGCTGCTTGATGGGCTCGGAGTGCTATACTCCTTCCCCTCACGTCATGACGAATGGGAAGACCCATCCCTGTACACTATAGTACAGCTACCGGGTACTCTGGTGAGTTGGCGAGTTTGTTAGTCGCCTGGCTGGTTTCTTGAACATGCGAGTGAATTCCGCTCTTGACTTGTGCAGGCGAGTCAAGTATGTCTAAAAAAAACTTGATTCGTGCATGCAAATTAAGTATGCAGGCGAGTTTGGTGTTTGTGTAGACTTGGTTGGTCGTCAGTACTGCGAGCGGTCACTTGATGGGTTTGGAGTACTGTACTCTTTCCTCTCACGTTGCGGGAAATGGGAAGACCCATCACTGTACGTGATACTACGACCGCACAGTACTCTAGCGTGTCTGGCGAGCTTATTGATCACCCGGCTGGTTG